ATGCGAGCACGGCAGTACGCAAACCAAGGCCTGGACGCCGTTGCCTTACACTTTTGTGTCGTACCAGTGCCTTCTGCGCTTGGGAACCCTCTTTCTTACTCTAAGAGGGACTACTTCTTGGCACCTAATCTCGACTCGTGACTTAAACTTCGGCCGAAGTGTGTAAGTAATCCCCTAAGCTCCCTGGTGAAATTTCGGCCTCGACGACAGCAGGGACGCACAAGAGTCCGATGTCGCGCACTGTAGCGTGCTGCCACCAAGGCCAGATTTGACTAGGGAGCATCACTCGCTCAATGAAATCATTGTGTAAAATTGTGTTCAATGTGGATTGTAATGGATCAATGTGGATTCAGTATGGATTCATTGGGGATTACAACGAGATCGTGAAAAGTCGACGTTTTCGGCGAATAATGGCGCTATTGCTCGCGCCAATCGCGCGATTGGATCGCCAACTGTGATCGTGACTTGGGTGGGACGACAATCTGGGCAGGTTCTTCCCATTCCAATAGGAGTCTTTTCACTTTTATTCACTGATGAAGAATTCACAAAAATTTGTGAAATAATTATTGCCAACGGCGTTGAATGTATGTCGTTCTGCTGTATTATAAGAATCTGAATATCTTCTGCTCATTATGGTTCCTGATTCAGACAGCGACATGCCGGATAAATACCGACTGATGGTTATTGTATCGCTGTTCGTGTTTTTTCAACTGCATTTCGCTATCAGTGACAATAAATTGGGGAAGATTATTTGGAAAAGTCATAAAAAGGTAGTTGCTTCTCTTACACAATACGGGTGCTAAGTGAGTTGGGGGGGGGGACCACGCGGTGGCACAGTTTTTCAAGCGCGATGGGACTAAGCCTAGAAACCGGTGGGGTAAGCTGTGCTGAACTCATGAAGTTGACTTTTGGTACATTTTAGCCTCCTTCTAGGCTCAGGCTTACTTAGTGCCATTGCGTTTGACAGGCGCCGCCTCGACACGTAGCCACCCCCCCCCCAACTCACTTACGATTATATTATGAAATTTCTCAGCGAGATCTTTATTGTTTCTATCTTTGGACTCCTTGTGATCCTGAGGATGAGTAATTTCCACAGATTATGGCTTTTCACATGATCGGTGATATTCTCTGGATTCCCTTGTGAATTCTGATGCGAGAAGTGCCATCGATTGGTGAACGCTGTCGATAAAAAGAGTTTGCAGCTTGTCAAGCACGTCAGGTTCGTACTGCATTATTTGGATTCCCCACTTATTGAATGGTTTTATCGCTTATTGAGAATGCCGTTGAGTGAGTAGTCGCAGTGATCTTTCGTGGGAGCTATAGTAGTCCAATTTCAACAAGAAATTGATTCTCTTTTTCAGGGAAACTTTGATGGTCGAGCAAAGCGACGGCATGCTTGAGGAAGCCGTCTCGTATGTGCCATCAGCTGAGGAATGGCAGAGCAAGGTGCGATACATTTTTTTCGAAGCAGGATCTCTGAGATTTTTCCTAACGCCAAGCAGCTAGTGGTCGACGATAGTTTAGAAGCATGTTGTGAAATTTATAGCCGAAAATAACTTGAGAAGGTCTAGTTCAGATGACGGCGGAGAGGTCACTCAGCGAACGTCGGATTCCGCGTGCAAAGCCTAGCTGTGCGGAGCTGATGTTGAAGGTGTGTTTAAACGTTCCACAAATAATATTAGGTGTATCAGACTTTAGGACCAAGTAAGATTACTGTCCTTTCGGGTCGATGACAAGCACTTAGTTATTAAACAAATTAGTTTCAATTGTCGGGCTGAGATTCGAAAACCTAAAGTTTCTCTCCCTTGAAAGCAGCTGTCGTGGTTCGGGAGCGGTCGCCTTCCCAAACCTGTAATACGACGCTTCAACGTGGTTTGATGCTTTAAAGCCCTCGTGGTGTTTAAGGATTCGCACCATCCCACGGGTACTCCCAGGGTCATGCTGTTTCCCGCAGGCACGGCCTCCGCTCCCAGGCGTTGTGGGTTCCTAACCTATGGAAGACGGGCTTAGCATATCAACTCGAGCACCTCGCGAGGGGAGACCTGCGGTCAATCCAAGCTTACTTAGCCCAGGACCGTTAGCTACCTTGCTCCGGCTACTAGCCGCATAAGTAACAGCACCTTGAAAAGATAATTGTGCCTGTCAGCCCCAGCTCTGGCGCCCCTCTCCTATACAAAACACCTACACAATACATAACACACCTGTTTTACGCACGTTTATTGCGGCAATATGCTTAAGACCTTTCATCGTCACAATTCTGCCGGTCATGGAGATGCCAAGCCATCGCGTCTTCCTTGTAGCACGTCGCGAAGCGGCGGCGAGCTCTGAAGGTAATCTGCAACCCATAGCGGGTATAGCGAATGCTAACGTACCAGCGCTCTGACTAGATGCAGCAGCAGTGCACAAGCCACTCCGAGCCGTCTGGGTTCCTTGCTTTGCTCATCAAATTTTTCGGGTACCCGACAGGAGGCCCGTCGCGCGGCAAGAAGGCAGAGTCAGCGGACGAGTCGCAGCGCGTGATGTGCGATGTAGGACGTACAATGGTACATTCTATTTAACTTGACGCGAAATCACTACAGTACGCGCTGCGACTCGTCCGCTGACTGCCTTCTTGCCGCGCGACGGCCTCCTGTCGGGTACCCAGATTTTTTTCTCTTGGAGGGAGCAAAACGCGCTGACTGGCAACGGCGGCCCCCTTGAGTAGCCTCGGTTGAATCGGGACCGTAGTCGAAGCATGAGTTTATAGCAGGTGCATGCCGCGTGACCGCGGTCAAGGAGCGCGGCAAAGCCCGAGCGCGCGATGCGCCGGGAACGCGGTTACGAACTTCGCGTACCATTTGCTTAAAACCGTAAAGCGATGTTTTATATGTGCTTTGCACCTTCACGGCTGGGTCATATGGCTTAAGAGAACCCTCAGGATGGAATTAATTTATGAGTCAGCAATTTGAAAGTCTCCGTGTTGAACACATAGGTATGACATCGCTACTGCTGTTAAAAGGTGGTGGTTCCGTGCTAATAACCTGCAGTCGCACCAGGGGCTGAATCGATCAGAAGGGGCTGGAGACTGTCGAATTCATCAAATGGTTTTGGTACATGTATGGTAAGCTGTTTGTTATCAGACGCTAGGAGCGTCTTTTATTTACCGCTTAAGATAACAGGTAGATAACGGATTATAATCCGGTACGGAAAGCTCAAACTAATATGCCCAAAACTCAACAAAGTGCTTCCGCTGCGACACAACAACCAAGATCACTTATTTCGACAATAACGGCGGTGATCACTGTCCCTACGTCATCTGTCCGTTCTGCTTGCTGGGCATCATTTCAGTGGCAAAAATGATTCCAGAAAAAACTTTGAATCGATCTCAATACCTTCTTAAATTTGAAACCGACGACCTTCTAGGAAGATTGCAACAACTCTTCAGTAACTCATTGCAAAAAGTCGCTAATACTTATGGTCCACACTGATGATAGGTATTGCTTCTATTAAAATAATGGCTTTGAAAGAAAAATGTTTGGAAGTGGCACGAACTTTTTGCACACCTAGTGATAAACGAACAAGAACCGGTGGGATGGACAATCTGTTTTACAGCAGAGCGTCAAAGGGGACGGTTGAAGAGTTATAAGGTTTGCGCCTGGGGCAGAAGTTGATACAGCTGTCATTCGAACCAACCGGTCTACGTAGCGGGGTCGCGGTCCCATTTTTCCGCATTTACTATTTCGTCTGTTCTCCTTTTCTGGCTCTATTGTCTCTCGTTGTAGCATAGTTCATTCAGAAAGAAGTGCTATAATCCAGCCTTCTTCGATAGCTTATTGCTCAGTTCATCTTTTTAGACAAAATGACGTAGTTCAATTTTGGCATAGGTTTTTAAGATTTCATTCATTTTAACAGTCAATATCACAGGGTGCACGGATAGCGGATGTGATGTGCAGTCTATTGCGAATCGTACTCAATTCATACACGGGACCTATTCGAATGTCAAAGGCCAAAGCGTATAAGATGTTCACCGTCATAGAGAATATCAAGGTATGTCATTTCAGGCTTTGCGTCTAAACTTGTCCAATTTGGGGGCAGCGGGCTTTATCAAGTACGCTACAATTGCGCCGATAGAGTTGATGAATTCCAGGCGATTTCTCACACATTCGCTGAAAGCCGTAGGGTGCTGCTTGAATGCTGCCAGATGGCTTGCCTTCAATGGGCGGTGTCATCGTTGGCACTGATCGACCGTGCTCGTCTGTCAGCTCGAGAATCTGGAGATCTGCATCGAGCAGCTGCTTTTCACATCGCCATTCAATGTCTTCTTGGAAGTGGGTCGTTGAAGAATAATGAACTTGTATCATTCAGACTACATTTTACGAACGGGATGAGCAGCATTGGAGATTCGTAATCACTTTCCTTAGTCTGCACTATGACTATTTTTAGATCTCCAACGAATTAACAGTTTGATATCTTTGATCTCCAGCGTAGATTTAGCCTCAGCTGTTTTGGCCATTCCTGTTTTAATGAAAGCGGACATATTGTTCCGAAAAACTGCCGGGCGCGCTCAATGACCTTAGGGAGAAGGAGCGGGGAGAGAATCAAAACAGGGACATCTAAAACAGATGCTAAGCGAGAAACTGACAAACAAGTCGAGGAGAGGGAACCGCCAGAGGAACAGAAACTGCTCACTACTCTGGTACAAATACATGTGCCCTCCAGGGGCGGTATAGTCCCAAATTGAGAGTGGCTTTCATTGAATGGTTCCCGCCTGACCCCCGCCCCGCTCTCCTCACCCCAATGACACGAGCGCCGAAATTGCCTTGAATTTTTTTGCGGGTGTGCTTTCACTCTCTGTTACTCTTACGTCTCTTCTTAATTTCACATCAACTTTCTCAATCTTTTTGCAGAGTCTCGATGTCGGCTAGCCGTTTGTGGAGTGGCACTGGAAATCGCTCAGTACAAGGTGTGCTTTATATTAAATAGAAAAGCCTAGCTTGTGAGAGATACTTTTTCAGGATTTAATGCGAAAGGTGGATTCAGCGCAATTAGATGCATTGCTTTCTCGACTGGATACGTTCTGTAAGATTGACACCATTATTGAAAGGTGACAATTGAAAAGCTGTCGAGTTTTCTGAATGTTATATCAAGGGTTTTTTGAATTACTGGAAAAGTTTGTCCCTTTATGGCCTGACGAGAAGAATACTTAAACAAGTGCCGACAAAAATTTTATTCTTTGATCTAAATCTCAATTGCGCTTAAAGGACGAATTCACGATTAGAATGAAGGTCGAAGAAGGAGTAATTCACCTAGTTGAGGGACCCGCGGACCTCCTAAGGGTGCGACTGAAGCGCAATTGGCACCGAAGGAGTTGACCTCGGCGACCTATTAAGGCTCAATCTTATAGATTCATGTCTGTTCCTCTAAAAACCGCGAGTTCGATCCCTGCCGAGAAAACCATGCCTTGCAAAATTGCAAAAATGGTTCTAGTACCAGCGTCATGCCCAGGTTGACAGGCCGCGGCTAATGAAGAGTATCGTCACACAAGCATGTAAAGGGAGACGAGAGTCGCCTGTTTTGAGGAAGTTGAGCCTTTAATTTGCTGGATGCCCATGGACTTATAGGCCTCCATAATCCCTTCAGCAAAGTAAAATAAATAATTCAACCAGTTTTGTATAATTTTCTTATTGAAGAGCTTACAATTGAGCACTGTCGTGTGGAGGAAAAAGAAAAAATAAATCTAAGAAAAAAATATGAATTGACTTAAAACATGGGGTCAAGCTGTCTTGAAGGGAAGTGATATCGAAGGACTAAATGATTTGTAGAAAGCTCCGTTATGACGGATGACTTTGAAGCAAGGTTCCATTTCAGTGGAGCATCATTCGTTTCATTTTCTGGATTAAAGTTTTCTATGCCCATTATTTTTCATTCTGGCTTGAGACTATTTGGAATCATTGGTTGTGAATGTTTTTTCGCATGTTGATACTCAAAATAGCTTTTTCAGAGTGGCAGACTGTTCGTTTCTGCTGTTCCATCGAGATTTGATTGGGATTTACTGGGACACGACTCTGGATCGAACACCGACCAGGCAAAGCATTACGGTACTGTACTAGTTGCGAGCATGCCTGCATCACCCATCCGTCCCACATTTTCATTCGATTATTCGTTTTTTTTCGTCCATGTAGCGCAATAGGGCGTGTGCTGAGAATGCCACCAAACGTTGTACACTTATTCAGGAAATTTAAAAGAGGGAAATGAGAGCCAAATTCCATGTAGATCCTCAGAAATCCTAAGGCTAGCATTTTGAAACTGGCTTCCATTAACCTGAAATGATAGGGTTCCATCATGATAGGTTACGCTAATGTTGCTTAAAGGCAGTGGACACGATGGCTGGAAGGCGGGGCGGTCTAATGAAATTTTCAGTCGTCATTGGTCGTCATTTGTGGAAAAGCGCAGAGAGGTGTTGTAGAGGCAACCTTTCGACGCTGTTTCATCGTTGACGTCATCGAAATCGCACCGCCTCCCAGCCTACGTCTTCACTGCTTTTGATTTCAGTCCACAGTCGACCTGCTAAGTACTGCGACAAGGAGACGATTTCTATATATTTTCCGCCCGCCCCTGACTCTTTTGTGTATTTTCTTCACTTCTAACTGCATTGTGGTTTTCTCAATATATATCCTAATGTCTGAACAACTTTTTGCAGTACTTTGCTATGGCAGTTTCGGACTGTATACGATATGTGAAGAAGTCCAAAATCGAAATCCAAGTGGACCGTTTTCGTTCAGAGATGTTCGAATTGATTAAGAAGGTAGGATATGTTGGATTTTTACTCGATAAACTAACGAGATACTTAGTAATATTCTACTTGCACAGGGTTCCTCTTTCCACTTTGTGCTGCAATTGAAAACGATTTGAGGATTCTCTCCCACCAACATCTTGTCATTGATGAAAGGTAACCTGTGTAATCTCATTTTGAAAGAAGTAATCTTAGGTGGCAGTGAGGAAGGCGGAATGACAGCTAATCATGTTCCATCGCATGCGATATAGTGATAGTAACTGATAGAATGGTACGAATTTCTGCGTGATGTTTGCCAAGTAAATCTCTTTGGACTTTCACTTCAATTAAAGCACCCGTGTACCTGCGAATTTAGATAAGAAATTTTTTTGTGTTTGGTTGCTCGTTTGTCATCTGAGTCGGTTTTGATCTCCATAAGCAACGGCGTCTCAATTTATTATCAGTTTAATACATCTGTTAGGGATATACCTTCCCGAGAACAGCTGGAATTTTACAAGGAAATATTGATAGATCCAGAAATTCGACTTCTTGGCGTCGTTATAAATATCAGCGGTTCGTGCATTGCTTGAAAGATTTGCTCTAATTATACCTAGCGGAAAAGCAGACAATTGCTCAAGTCTGGGACTATGTCTGGCCCTGCCATAAGAGTAGTCACCGAGCGCGACCGCCCAGCGCCTCGCTCGCCCGTTTCACTGATACTCGAACTTAGCAAGCGGGCGTCACGAGTTAATAGGGCAGCGCGAGAATTACGCACTAATCGAAATAAGACTGGTAAGGGTAGGGGGTCCTATGTTTCGGGCTCTAGGCTGTTTCTCAAGGTTTTCCTCATCCCCGCACCACTGACACCACTACTTTGACTTCCACTGGGCTATCTATTCACTGTAAACTCCGGCTTTGAATACAGTGATCTCGTGACTGAAAAAGGCTTCAAATTAAACAAACTGCTTTCATCCTCCTTTCATCCGCTTGTGTATTGTGAAAAATCAATTCATTGCAGAATTTGTTTCTTGCTATCTTCAAAAAACTTTCTATGATCTGACCGCGGTTACTCTTCATGATCGTCATGCGTACAGCAAAATGGCCACGTTAGCCGAACAGCGGTGAGTTCATCGTCATTTATTTCGATTGTGATGTTAATGTTTCAAACGATTTGAAGTATTGGGTTTATTTCTCCCATTTTATCTCCCATTATGAGTCTTAAATTTGAGGTATGGTTTGAGTCTCATCGATGGAATGTTACCAAATTGTCCATCGGACAGAGTCTGGATGTGGTGAAAGTGATGCGATCACTCGGAGAATTTGTCACCAACTTCAATTATTGCCTCAACCAGCAGGTACCTTTCGCTCTCCATAAAATCGAAATGGTCAGCCCAGGAACAATCGTATTCATCGTAATAGTGCACTGTCACATTCTACTAACTTCAATACCGTAACTCATACATCGAGCGGGAAATATAGTGAACTGAATGACTGACAAGGAATTCGTGTGAAGAAATTCGTTTTGGCTCTCAAATTTATATCGTATCAATGGCTTTTCTAGTTTTGGGATTCACTCTCCATGAGAACTTTGTGGTCTTATGCCCATGCGAATCGGTTAATTAGCAGTCAAACACGGATTAAAAGTTTGAAGCTATGTTTGTAAATGTGCACTATCACCCACTTTTCAGTGTCATTAGAAAATTCACTGACACGATACACTGTCGCGGCTAACGCCGAACACATTGCAGAATCAAATGAGAACAATGGTCTTGAGTGCTGAACACCCCGCGTCAACATCGCATCCTATAGTGTAGCTTTAAAGCAGCGGTTTTACGCTTCCGTTAATGGGGTTTTAGCCGGGGGAGAGGGGGTCCTCAATGACGTCAGTGGCGAAAGAAGCAGCGAAATCGGTCCAGGAAACGAGAAATGGGACCCCCTTTTGGGCCGTTTATTGCGGCTCTCAGATGGACTGCGGCGAAGACCGCGCACGCGTGGACGAGATTGCGCAACGCGTGCTGGGCAGCGAACAGCAGGCATGGCGCCCTAACCGCGCTGCGGCTGGCAACACGGCTCGCCCAAGCCACCGATGAATCATGGGGCGGGGCGGCGCATGGGGCGGAAGGGCGCAATGGTCCTGCTCAGCAACCACAGCACTGTTCGCAGTGCAAGCGCCACACATCGCTTCCTTGGCGGCCTGCTAGTTGCTCTGTGGGGAGCAGGTTCTCCGCAGATGTGAAAATTCCTTTTCGTACCCACTTCCTTTAAGAAATATTTCTTTGTTCCTGACTGCTGCTAACTGCATCAAAGTAACATGCTTTGGAACTTGCTAATTCTGCTCGATGTTAACCCTTTCGGACCTGAATTTTTCCCCGTGGAGAAATTTTTCTTCTAGCTATTGTTTATTACTTGTGAGCATATAGGTATCATTATGGCGAAATTTGGAAGCTATTCGATCACAAACAAAGAAACTAGAAGCTTTGAAAATTGGCCCACCTTCTTAGTTTTTAAGCTTATGTCGAAACAATTCGAAATATTCCGAAAAAGTTTATAATCTTGCACAACATTATAACCCATAATTTTGATTTAAAATGGATCTACTTCAAGTATTTTAAGAAAAAGTGACACTTACTTGGCCGGTTGCGGGTCAGCGCCGATTCATTGTTGCACTTGTACACAAATACTTGTAATACTAACAGCAACACACAAATGAAATGGCAGGTTTAGCTCATATTAGGAAGGGGAAGGTTGACTAAAACAATTCTGGCAGATTAGAAAAGCCATGCGTTCACGCCAAGCAACATCATTTGAATTGATGTGCAATTGTCCACTGCCAGGGCCGAAAGGGTAAATAGAGGGCTCCTGATTAACACTCCATGAATTCCGCCTACAGTAATCCCAATCTATTTTGCAGGGGTGGGGATGGGAAGCTCCATGTATAAAATGTCCTGTCCTGTAAAATAGCTCCATGGGTAAGATCGGAAAGGAATAGTTCTCACACTCCCGAGATTTCGCATAAATTGAATTGCTTCCCACCAACTCGCATCATAGTCCCTCATCAACATGCACCATTACAATATAGATCCCTCGCTTTCTCTGCACATTCCCCCGCGCATCTTTTTTACAACTGCAAACCTATCACGTAAACCTGGCCAATGCAGTGTAAAATTAGCAAAACGTATTTGTAAGCATGTTTATTTTGAGTTTTCAAATTACGTAATTGACCCTGGCAACCGCACCGAGCTGGATCCATGTGAGTACCATACATCGGAAAAATATTATATTTATTCAATTCCTCTTTAATTTTTATCGCCTTAACGTGAATCGTCTCATCTTGCTTCTTTATGAGTTTTGTTCGAAAAACTAAAATGTGTCGCTCGTTTCCGACTATATAGGGTGTTTATAGTATCTCATCGATCTTGGAGATTTATCTGCCATGTCACAGAAATTCGAGCGGAAGACGTACAGCTAGAGCATCGTTTATTCAGCTCTCCGGAGTAAGTTTGGAATTTTCAACAGTGTCATTCCCTTCAGATAGCACATCCCATGCGCAACTTAGAAAGATATCGACTATTCCAATAACTCAATCCTTAAGAAAATGCTGTAATGAACTTAATCCTACGCATTCCTCTCCCAAATTCCAGTGATTGGTGATCCGTAATGGTGAATTTAGTTTCCTCCCAAACGAGCCGAACAGTTCAATCGTGCTTTCTCACAGCTCTCAATTCAGCATGGTGAACTTACTTATATGGACCGCTTCAGAATGCTCATCACTCAGGTTCGCTTTCTGAGATCACATTGTTACTCCACAGGATGTCCTAGGCTCTGATATTTGTTCTAAATGTAACGCTTGGGGTTTGTTCGGTCAATTTCTTACTGGAGTCAGCAGCCTTGCAAGCAAATGAAGAGCCTACGCATACATGAAGGATGAAATTGAGGCTTCAGATGTTGATGGTGAATTCCGACCATACATTTTTATATGTTACTGTAATGTCCATATTATCTAGGAGACTCACCGCTCAGCACAGCCAAGAAGCTTCTTCAAGAACTGCGTGAACAGGCCAACAAAGATAGAGATTTCACGAAGGTATGAACACATTTTGTTCTTATCTTTAACATCCTCTGATTGGTGGTACAGATATGGACACAGTATGCTTGCCATGTGTGACAAAGCGCTGTTGATCGTGACCGACTACTGGCTCGATGCCATACTCTCAGAGTCCGAAGTGCAAGCGACAAAGAAGGGCTATTCATCGCTTTGCGCGTGATTTCATAGCTTCACGAGATGCTTTTTGACTGTCCATGCACACCCTTAGAATGTCACTCGAAAGTTAGCGTCTTTACAATCCTGGATTAGGTAATCTGATTGATATTTTCATTATTATGATAGAAATTCGCTCTCATAGAAGAGAGGGAGCCACTGAATTGCAGGTATGGTCCGATACAGTCGTTGATTTCTCCATTCCCAGACTGATCAAGCTGCGGTTGATCTAGCCTGAGCAATTCCAGCCCATCATAGCACGGCCCCTCCGCAGTCACACATACCGTTGCATTTGTCGAACAGAAAATCGACCATCATAAGAAGCCTCACTACGCTGCTTACTAAATGCTGCGGTTACCAGTTCTTATTGTAATTACCCTTAAATTTTACATCTGCCTATCTCAAGTTGTTTCAGATTGGTGGAGAAATTTCGCAGTGCGTTTTTGGACGATTCGAAGTTCAGCCATCTGCTCGACTTTACGTTGCTGTGCCAGCTCTGATGGTGAACTATGTCGAACACATGTTGGTATGTAGAGATCGACTGAAGAAACGTGCACAGCTACACAATAGATCACCTTCACAGATGATGGTTCCATTAATGATGTAGTGGATCCTTATCTCGTCGCTCCAAAGGCAAGACTGCCGGACTTGTACTGTATGGTAAACACCAAATTGAAGTAGTGTGAGAAAGCTGATCGCCAATCGAAACAAGGAACAGAAATCCTGAATGCCACTGGAAATACGCAGCATTTTCTCCAGCGGTGGAACTCTTCAAAATCAGACATGGGAGGGAAATAAAGGTAATTGAGCGCAGAGAAATGTAAAAGCGATCGTACGTAGTTATTTGGTGGAGTCTGTTAGAAGTTCATGGCGCCTAGGGTCCTGGTGACGGGTTTCGATGTAGAAAGGTGGCGCTAACTTTGCACTTGCGTGCCCAGCACTTCTAGCCATGGTAAGGGCTTCTTAGGTGGGTCTGAGCCGAACTTTGCCTTTACCTCGATTGGAGGGACCAATCCGTAAGATTTTTTTGCATCCGGAGAATTCCTCTTGCTAGAAACCATCAGCCTCCACTAAGCACTGAACTGCTTTGAGGCGGACCTAGGTTAAGACCGTATCTGAGAGCGAGCTGTCTTGCATGACGCGGCCATTCCGTGCCTATTGTGGAAAAAGCGCTGGCTTGTGGTCGTGACAAATTTCCCGATCACCAATACGTTTCACCAATGGCGCCCAACTACCTAACCAAATACTCCTAGGTGCAACTTCAGAGGCAGTGAGCGTGATGGCTTTGCTGCCCAGCCATCGCACTCACTTCCCGAAAATTTTCGGAAAGCTAAGCTCTAATCGTATAACTTCGTATAATGTATGCTAAAACTACTCAAAATTCAAAACCCCAGAATTTTCAGATTTGGATTATTAATTAAATGGGGGGGCGGTTCCAGTGCGTTCGCTTCAGCACTTTGGGGCAAATCGGTAGAGATTCGTTCCTTCACTTTCCACTGGAACTTCATCATAGGTTGACATGCTTGTAAAACAGGAGATGAAATACGAGCTTATCAATTGCGTTGGCGCGTTTTAGGATGACAGACATTAAGCAAAATTTCATTTATGTGTTCAATTTTTAGGTTTGGCCTATATTCTTACGGTACTCAATCTCTGGCCACAATTTACATCATTGAACTGGTTCCGATCAGTGACGAAGTAAGAAACCCTTTGTTTAATTTCTGATGACTCTGGAGTACCTAATATTCACTCAGGAAATGCGCTGCTGATCATGAGATGTTGACGGAGGAGATGAAGACGTCAAAGGATTCACGTGGCGTTCACCTGAAAGCTACTCGGCTAAATGCGTATGAAAGGGTAGGGACCTCTTTAGTTTTCTTTTTTCTTTCTCTATTTTGTTCTTTCCTTTCAACTGTTTATTTTTTCCAATTTCTTTTTCGGAATACCTTTAGCTTTCTATATTCAGGAATTCAAGCTATTGTCGTTCACTTTTCAATCAGCACGGGTATTCTTCTCAGTCGATGATGATGAGGATTAAAATCATTAAATTCACTAAATATAAAGTGAGAGATGAAATTTACAATTTTTGCAATAATTTCTATAGATTGTATTAAATACGAAGTCAAGAATACTTCTAGTTCATTTATGGGTAAAAGCATTGTGGCAACTGAACAATTTCACTTTATTAAAAGTTGATTCGAATTTGCTAAGCCATGTTTGATTGTATACTTTTGGTAGTCTACAACTGATTGCTATATTTCAAGTATTATTATATGATTTCAAATAAATTTAAATGTTATTGTGAGTTTTCCTTCATACAAGATGTATTTGCAATAGATCTTTGAAATAACTGGGCAGAGCATGCGTAGTAACGCCGATGTCAGACTTTGCGAATCGAGCGATTCGCTAGCGTCCGCGGTCGCGTTGCGGTACCAGCCAATTGAGTGATTCACTGGCCGCGACGCGACCGCAGACGCTAGCGAATCGCGCGATTCGCAAAGTCTGACATCGGCCTAACCGTGGTGAATTTAAAAGGCAGAATAAACGGGCACTTTTGAGTTCCGAGATTACAGGCAAACCTCGCGGTCAATCTGGTGTGATTCCTGCGCACAAAAATTAAAGCAGGGGTGTAAAAAAATGAACCGGTAGTTTAGAAAAAAAATTTGTTTATTTGTATGTTTCGTGCGCGTCTTGAGCCGAAGAGAGCGAGGCGTAGTGATTAGTGGATTAAGCTCTGTCCCGAGTACACGCAGAGCTACCGCAGTAAGCAGGTCAGCGGGACGAGTTGCGCGAGTTATGCGCGATGCATACGTCTAGTGATCATCTAGTCTGCGTAAATGCGAAACACTACACGCCGCTGTATCGTACGCTGATTACCCTGTCTTACCCGCCAAGGGGTGATCTTGGGCAGTTGGTCTGCGGGTGTTTTCTCTGTAATGAACACAAAGGTCGAGTCACGAGTGATTTGCGCACGGTAGTTCGATATGAAATGAATTGTTGTGGACTTACTCATATCAGAACGAATGATGCATACTTTGTAGATCGATGTCTGAGAAAGTGACGCAGTGCATGACTCAAGTTAATTATTTCGTTCCGTATGTCCGATTTGTGTGTGTCAATTCCAAATTTCGTCATATCAAATGAGTGTCTTGCGGAGAATTTTTTGTCAGAACGAATCTAGTCTTTTGCAGGAGGTCTAAGATGTGTCCGTCCCCAACGGGATGTCTGAATTAGTAAGCAGGGAGGTTACCCGCTGCGCTGTCTTTTCTTTATTGTTCTCTTCCACAGCTTCCATTCAGGATGTAGACACATGTCGGTATGACATGATGTATTTCGACTTCTGGAGAACGATTGGCATATAGTGGACAGCTGCAAAGCCAGCAGTCGCAGCATGCGGGAATACCAACATCGCAAATATCTCTAGCCGAATAAACCGAATCTCACATTGGCAAAGCTAACAGGAGATCAAAGATCGCCACCTTTTGAAGGAATCAGTTGGACCACGAACCATGTCTTTGAGTAACCTGACATTACTTCATCGGACTATCCCTTTCGCATTGCTTCGGAGTGGAAATTGCGAGAGAGAGAAAAAAGTCAGGCGAATAACCACCCCCAAAACGACCGTGCCGATTTCTTCAACTCTTGGCTTCACTCGTTCATTGTGAGAAGAACTCAAAAAATCCCTGGCAAATGGCAAATATTATTGTTTATGGTAATGGTCATATTTTTGCTCAATTGGTTTCTGAAAAAGAGCAAACTTGAATGATGGAAATGTCTCAAAATTCGGACAAAAATTATGGGATAACCCAATAGTAGTGTCATAAAATACGGCGTGGTCTTCACAATGACGTGCGAAAGCTAGCTGAAGGCCGATCGATCTCGAAACGATGAAGGTTTGGTCACCTGGACAAAGTTCGTTTCAGAATGTGACCTCTGCACCATGCGCGTGGTAAGCGGCTCTTCTTTCCGCTACACTTTCGTTCCAGTTTTACTGCGTCTGAACGGTAAAACGTGGGTTCGATGTTCCGTAGATTGCCCCTCTCGAATTTCGGACGTTCAGATTTGATTGCCTCGGTACGGTTTTTCTACTGACTAGTTTGTAGGCCTTTGACTGAAATAATTCGATTCGTAGGACACGAATATGACAAAAACTCTTTCACCTCGGTATTAGAAGCACGGGCAAGCCAAGCATTTGGCACTGACTAATCCTTTTCTGGGCACCCACCGCTTTCCATTTTGAATCAAAATTGTGGACATTCGAATGCGGCCTGGTTATACAATGACTTATGAAGACCAGCTGATGTACAGGTCAGTAATTTGGTCTTCTCATCCAGTACCCGTATGCTTACCCTGGAGAGATAGAGACCAGGCTAGCCACAGCGAATTTCGAGCTGGGATTTGATCCCTGGACGTGCGTAGGGATTGAAGTCACTAACCACACACCACCTTTGCTCTTCTGCAGTCTTATCACAAGAAACATCTGTCACATTGTCGTAATTTCGTTGATCGTTACAAGATATGGATGGCCGAATGAATAAATGGCCATTTTATGACAGAAAATTGAAAAACAGTCCGCTCTCATGTTACGAAGGAAAACAGCTGGAAATGTGAAGTGTTTGAATGGTTCGCATTATAATAATTAGAATCAAAAAATTTAATGGTAAGTTCGAACCTTACTGACAGCTTTTGTTAGCTTATTTTCTCCAGTGTCCCTGCTTGCGCTAGAGGTAAAAATTGGGCAGAAGAATCGAAATATGCGCTAATCCATATACCGATAGGAACGTCGTGGGAGTAAATGCTATAAAAAAAGAAGAATCGTCGGCTCCCGCGCCTACCTCTCCGACTGCGCAGGCCCGCCAGAGACTTGGACCCTGCAGGCAAGATGGGCTCAGCGTTATCCAACGCGCTGTCGAGAGGACGATGCTAGGAGTAACCCTATACACGCAAGTGCAGAGGGGAATCCGGAGTTCGGAACTACGCCAACGATCGAAGATCAGGGACGCTGCCGTTTTCGCCAAGGAATCGAAGATAAGGTGGGCCGGACACGTCATGCGATTTTGCGATGACCGTTGGACCAGAGCGGTTACCGACTGGATCCCTCGGGACGTCAAACGAACACCTGGACGACCGCCGGCCCGATGGTCAGACTTCTTCACGAAAGCTCTGAACGAAAGGAATGAAGGCTTCGTGTCCCTCGAGCGAGGAGGATCCACTGGACCACTCTTGCACGAAGGAGACGTTGCTGGCGCCCGCTCGAGCAAATCGATGATCAACGGGACGACTGATGCAGTTGATACACACATAGATGAATTAAATGCTGAGGTACCCATAGGAACACTTGACAAGCCAGAATGGGCCCGAAAAAGAGTAGGAAGCAGATAAACAAGGAGGACCTCAATGAAGTGATGGCAGAGGCGGAAATTGCCTCGGATATCAAAATTGGTGGCGTACAACAAGAGCAGTGGAGTGACCGTCTTGAACTTCACCTTCGTGAACAAAGTCACGAATCGCGTAGTGAACGTACACGATGTGTACTTCCAACGCTAACCTCTAAACCCTTCTACAGTACAAAGGCACAGTTCCCTGGCGTCCAATATGTTATTACTTTCTATTGGTCTCCGTAAACTTATGCTCATTTGAATTACGTCTAGTTAAATCATGATCAGATGTTTTTGTAGACACTCTTCCGCAGGTCAAAAGTCGCTCAAAACAATCGCGTCAAATGCCGCCGTATTACAGAAGAGAAACCTGTATGTTGTAATATAGATGTAGGCCAAAATAATACGAAAATAAATTCCACTCTGGCTGATATCGAATGATGTCGTCACAACGCCTCACAAACAAAAACAAAAAGCAACCAGCTGCTCTGCGTGAGTAGAGTCCAATCTTCGAGGAACATTCTATTGGATTGAGCACGGATTTTTCTCCATTCGCACTTTTCCCATGAGTTTTGTGTAGTCTTCAGACAAGGGAGGAATTTAAGCTTTATCAAAAATTTATTGTACACAGAAACTTTTAGAGTTTTCGTCCTCCATCCTCTTGGAATCCGAGTTCACCTTCAGAACTTCTAGTTCTCTTTTTAAAAATATGTAATATGAAGGTTTAAAAGTGCCGTTATATTGGATATATTAGGTTGTCGGAAAAGTCTTTGGCCATTTGTCGATTTTTTTCTAATTCACTTTTCTTCTTTAGCACAGTGAGCAATTTACAAATATATGCCCCACCATAATCGTCAACATATTGCCTTTCAGCAGGTAACTCGTGGATGCCGTTTGTCTGGAAATACTGAGCTTTCAAAGCAAAAACCTTGAAGAAGTCCTCTTCGAGTAGGTTCGGATCATTGAAGCTCTCCCTCTTTTGTTGATTTGACAGCAACGGAAGCAGATGGTGGTCTGTTAGTGCCGGTCTGCTGAACGCAACAGGTGGGACAGAACGTCCCATAACGGGCTTGGAGACTTTTGCTGACCTTCTTCCAAATTCGTTGACGAGCGTTGCCTGGATAAAGTAAACTTTTCCATGTTTTTAAGCATAGTGCCGGCGAACCCATCCATTTGCCCATATTATGGTTCAACAATAGCAGTGCAGTTCTTTGGTAGGAGCTGTCAGTGAACGAATCGCTTGGAGCTTCACCAATTTTGAAAGTTACCTCCCAGGTTGCAGTGCTGGAATCGGCGCTGGAATCCTTGGTTCTACGCGTCTGGGCCACTGGCGCTTCCGACTGCAGTTTACGTGAGGAACCCACTTCTGATTACCACCAACAAAGTAGTCGGGTCAAACAAGAGACAGACGGTAAATCAAAATGTTCATGCAAAATCTGAAGGCCTCTGACGGCGGTTGTCACCCATGTCAAAACAATGTCCTTTTTGCCATAATCCTCTCTTTTGAGAGAGATATTGAGGAACGGCTACTGTGCCTTAAATTGAAAGTGGTAATTTCGGCACTGTCCGGAAGTGTTTTCAAAGAGTCAGAGAAATCGTGTATTAGTGGAACAGCTACGAATTTGTGCTATTTTTCGAGTTTGTTGGGGTGACTGTGCGA